ATACCAATTCCCCTTTTCCTCACCAAAGCATGGGCACCACCTACTTGCCATGCTCTGCTAATTTCCCAGAATGTCTGAGTGGAAAAGTTTATCAGGACAAGATTACACCCCTAAAGCTTCTCCTCACCTTGCAACCCCCAACGATTTCCCAACAAAAGTCTTTGATCGCCGCAGTTTTTCCATTTATCTTTTCAAACTTTTAACCCACCGAGCCGATAGGCTGACACATTTGTGGCAAGCAACTGTTTCCTTTTGTTTTTTACTTTTTTCTCACTGATGGGGATAGGAATGCTATTAGTGAACATACATGTGTGTGTGTCTCTACCAGTCCATGTTGCAGTGTGTGCTGTACATGACACCATTGCCTTGAGGCTAGAATTGAACCTTTTGACCGCATCCTTCACTCAGGATGCCGGCACTTATTGCTATAGTGTTACGTTTGATCCTATTCATTCCATATGCTCAGTCCCTCGGACACATGTGCAGCAGAGAGGACGTCTTTGATGACGTGCTCTCTTGCATGGCTTCATTTCCCCACTGAGAGACACAATAGTTTGCAGAACTGTTGCTGACACACGTTCATAGACACACTTTCTCAGAGGAACCAAAAGGCAGACAAAAAGACAGACATGCGCATTGTGACAAATCCGTCACTTTCATAAAGTCGTGAACTGTGGTGGCAGTGGGAACGCTCGTCTGTGGGAGGCATGCTCTGACAGCAGTAATCCCTCCTTATCCACAGCTGACACGGACAAGTGGATAAGGTCCTTGTCTGCTGTCGTTTCCACTCACTGGCAGAACTGACAACCTGTTGCTTATTTATGATTGTTATGCTTCAGGGCATGATGAGCCGTTCCAGTGCATTCAGGCTTTGGTGTGCACATTTGTGCATGAACAACAAGTTATAAAAATAAAACACTTTAATGTTTTAAGTATTTTCTGTCCTGTTAGTGTAACATTAGGTAACCTTTGAATGGTGAATTCACTGAGCATTTCTTTGGTTAGATTATTAGTAATACATGTGTGGATTCACTCTGTAGATCATCTTTGTCCACCTGTAGTTTCCAGGTTTCCAGTCCTGCACAAACATCGTATACATTGAATTCTCTATAAAGACGACAGTGGTGTTCGGTGGTTCCTTAAAATCAAATGTTTGTGGGGGATTGAAAGCGCAGCATCACAGAGGTGCCCTTTAAGCAGGGGCCACTCCCTCATTACCAAAACTGATCCTCTGCATGCTCTGGTCAGGATCAGACTGTGGTTGTGCGCTCGTGTTGTAAATATGTTTGACTCTGTGGCTGCAAAACTGCATTTCTTTCTTCAAACAACACGGCTCACAGCAATGTCCTTGTGAAGTAGTGTTTCAATGAATTCAGGCACTTCTTTGTATCTTTGTTAGACGTAGCTGCACAGAAATGAGATGTTAAACTCGTGGATGCTCGGGTAGTGGTGAGGCGATTTAAAGCTGAGCTTCAGTGATGATTTGGTAGATTTTTGACAGTAACTTTAATGTGTAGGAATGTGTGTGTGTCTGTTAGCTCGTGTGCTTTTTGTGTAGGCATAGCTGTAGGTCAGAGCTACCATTAATTATTGATATAAAAAGCTTAGCGCATGTGCTGGCAGAAAGTGTTGCTAAGCAAGAGCGTTAGCATGCCAGAGACATCTGCGAGAGAGGACCAGAGAACAAGTGAGAGATAAGAAATCGAAAGATTCAGGCTGAAAGCAGGATAGAGGCAGATTCAAATGACCTAAAGCTAAGTGTGTCAGGTAGCTGCTAGCAAACTGAGACAGAAGAAGAGAGGGCAGAGAAATAGACACCTGCTGCTGGAGATGGAAAAAGGGAGAGCTTCAGATCGGGACCAGCTCAGTGACCATCGATGAACTTTGTTTTGTTTTGCAAAATTCGAGACAGAGTAGTGGATAACGTAATGTTACATAACAAAAGATGATATAAGGACAAGAGATAAACTTGTTGACATGAACCGTGTGCCTTTTGAAGCTCTGACGCTGTGGGAAAGTGTTAAAGATGATGAGCCGTCAGGCTTATTTTTACCGGGTCCCTCCCCAGGAGCTTCATCGCCGAAACCAGCTCCAGGCCGATCCGGCCAAAACCAGGGCTCTGCAGACTGTCATTGATATGAAGGTAGGACTAAGAGTTACTCTCAGATCTGCAAGTTTAAGTTTAAGTGGTGCAAGAGATTTATCTGAAATTCATACATGTCTGAGCTTTTGTTTATCATAAATATGAAACAGTTTTTTAATCCAGCTAATGTCATGATTTTATTTCAGCAGTGTTATCTGCTCTTGCATTTGTATGTTCAAAACATGCATGACATAACTTTAAGTCCACCTAGAATAACAGCAGAGGATCTCTCTGTATAGATGAACATGAAGGAACAATCTCGAGGACTTGATGTTATAGTTACCTTGCATCTGCATGGCAGCCATGCCCAAGTAAAGTCCGTTACTGGCACACGCGGAGTTGAGCACTTATTCAATTTGTTTCAAATGTCACATATGGAAGCTTTCACTCTCATCGCAGCCCTTTGAAGTTGCAGTGCTGTGAAATAATGCCGTTGACTCCACATGTGTCCGTGTGCACACCCACGCACACACATTTATTGTTCATTCAGCAAACACTTGCTTTAAAAGTGGATCCTTTACAGCAAAGCCACAGTTATTTTTCACACATACTCTGTGATTTGTCTGCCTATTAACGGACTGCACATGTGCTAGCTCACGGTGCCTCGCTGTGTTTTTAAGGGTCTAAATTAAATCTGACTGAATTAATTAGCAACGGGAAGACAAACACAGTTGCCAGGAGGCTTTGACGTATTGTAGGGAGAGTAAGAACAAAAGAAAGTCATCTCCAGCGTTGTTAGTAGTGATTGCTTTGTTAAACTAGCCTGTGTTGCTGTGATCAGCGGTGACACGTAGTGTCCACAAATGTGTTTCAGTGTCTGTGTTGCTTCGTCTAAGTGTTGGATGTGTCCACTTTGTAATTACAGACGACCAACCCCCCGTTTTGTTTTGATCCTGATGTTATCTGGCAGGTACAGTACTGAGTCGACACCTCTTGGTCTTGCTGTGAGCTCAACACTCATACAGTATTTCTGTTTCTAGCTTTCAACACCATGAATTCAGTTGAGATGCAACTTGGATGTCCCATAAAACTTTATGTCAGTGTTTTAAGGTCCAGCTTTTATGTAGTTCTAATGAATGTTTTATATGCTAAACATGCATTTTGCTTCCTCCCCCTGTGTTGTGCAGGAGAAACAGATCATGTTTGTCTCCATGGTTTTATGTGTGAACTGGATGTGCAGGAGGACTTCCATAACTGTCTCAATGCCTTACCTTGACTTGTTCTGGGCACATGTTGAAAGTTTGCATCCTTGCACAGACTCTTTCTGTGCGTGTGTGTTTTGTGTATGCATATGCTTTATGCATTTCTCTTTGGTCTTTTGTGTGCACTTTTATGCAGCACCATGTGCTAGGCAAGGCTGATGTCATAGGATGTAATAGAGGTCAGATGCTTCCTTGTTCCTATGGTTTCTGCTGATGGCAACATGCAATCTGCTTCCACTTATTAAATTACCTTTCTCTTCTTTTCCAAGGTTTTGCATTTAATGTATGTTTGAAACTATGCAACTAAACAACCTCAGGACCTGTCCATGTCAGACCCTTTTATTCCCTCATAGATTCTGCAGATGAATAATATCTTGGCTGAACACCAATGTCTGCCAGAATATTTCCCCTTCTTTTCCAGACATTTACTCAGACAGGACTTTACATTACATTTATATAAAGGAGGATTTGTGTAAATGCACTGACTTGGTTTATATGACATTTCTGTGTGATTTAGATTAATATGTTGATTCAAACATACTAGAAATATGTTTACACAGACAGATGTAGAGAGATATGTCAACCAAGTGATATTCTATCAATCACATTTTTAATTTCGACTATGAGGGCTTTGTGCAAGATAACTTGGATAGTGGTGCAGAGAGTCCAATGTATCTGTAGAGTGCTAACTGTCTGCTAATGCACGCGCTAGGTAATCTATCTTTTAGCCCCACGGCTCAATATTCTTGGCCAGGTCTTTGACTGTTTGCCTGCCTACTGTTGCTGGTGCAGGACACCAAGATCTCTTCCCTGGAGAGGAACATCAGAGACTTAGAGGATGAAGTCCAGATGCTAAAGACCAGCGGCCTGCTGCACTCTGATGAGAGGCAGGACGAGCTCAAGCAGGTGGAGGTCTACAAGAGCCATTCTAAATTCATGAAGACTAAGGTAGAATATCTTTGCATGCCACCTGAGATGACTCCACGCCGCGTGATCCGGGACGTGCATGCTTGTGTCAAGTATAAATAGCCAGAAGGCCAGAAACGGTTACATGTTGCATGTTGCTTGTTTATGGGGAAACAAGACGAATGTGGAAAAATCTGGCAAACTGCATGAATCTGTATTTTGTATTGTGTGTTTTAGCTGCATTCGCACTAAGCCTCTCATGTTGCATG